ACAGCAAACTGTTAAAGACAAACTAACATGAAAGCTGTCTGTATGTAGGCTAACACTTTATCTTAAAATGTACCTGAGGCAGCCGACCTGCAGACAGTGAGTCTCCTAAGTAGAGGGTAACAGCAGTAACAGCTCCAGGTCACCATCGGTCGGGCATTCCTCCTCCTCTTTCAGCTCTCGCCGGCATGTGAAAGCCAGACCAATATTAATTCTTGTTCGAGCTCTTGTTTTATCGCTCTCCCGTTTTCTTTTCTTTGTCTCCTCAGACAACACCTTCACCTTCTTACTTTTCTTTGTCACTTCAGCCATGACAACCATGTCTAACTTTGTTCACCTCGGTTTGGCTACGCTACTCTAAAGAGAATAAGGGGATATGATGTATGCCGTAAAGCAGCAAAATTTTAGTCCTTCTGTGTCTGGGTTCCTACCCGAACCCCGAAACTGCATAGTGCCAGTGCAAGTGAAACAGACGCTCTCAAGCAGTGACGGAGGTGTCATCCAACCTATTGTGAGTTGATGTACCATCACAAGGATCTTAGATATATATTTTGAGGGCTCAAAAACTTCATTGTGTTGCTTTTAAAACCACGTATGGGTGAATGTAGCACCGACACAATATGGGGTTAACCCGCCCAGTATCAGTGGGCTGTTATGATGCTTCGTTAGTGTTATTGTTATAATACTGTTCGGTTATTGGATCAAATCAGCCCTTGTGTTGGGTAGTTTTCTACCCATGGCTTCTGGGTAAAACTAACCCATTAATGCATCCATGCAATATTTAGCCATGCTGTGTCAGTTTAAACCCATTTGGTATTTTTTTTTTTTAAAGCAACAATATGAGTACAGAAATGTCAGATTAAGTGAAAGACGACAGCATGTTTGTCCTCTTATACCTTTCAAGGTTAACTGTCAAAACCCGAAGAAACAAGTTCAAAGTAACTCAAGCAAAAGTTGGCAAAGTATGTCATGTCTGACCTGGCGCTTTCCCAGCATGCCTTGTACACAGCTCTCGGGAATGGGTGTGTGCGTAATTTGATGGGTGGTGGGCTACGGTACGTCTAAGCCGAGCATTGCTCCAGGCCTTTTCTTAGATCTCCCATCCCTTCCGGACCTGTAGATGGGCCTATCCAGGAACACCATTAGGCAAATGAAGTTGTTTGTATCAAATATTGACATATTATCTCTTCATCATCAGGCAGCGGGAGGGAGGAGAGAGAGAAAGATTGTAACTGTGGGTAATTGAGCCGTGTCTCCCCTGCTTATCGGTAAAGCTCCGGCACGTCACGGACCTAACGAGCTGTGGCGCGCCGATTAGTCTGAAGGGAAAGTCGAACGTGAAACACCAGAGTCTCTGTCTTTCTTTTTCTTTTTCTCTTTTTTTTCATATCTGCAATGGATATTATGAGCCTCCCTGGAGGGCAGAGGCACAGCCTTATTAGTTCAATTCATGGGGGGGAAGAGAATTGATATGGATGAATGGCATGTTAAAGTATCCCTTTGTTACAATAACCATCAAGGCTGATGGTTCGGGCTGATGATGCAGCCCAAGGCAGCAGGACGACAAGCTGAGGCCTTGACCTGGATGGCAGAGGATGCACACACACCAAGGGCAGGGGGCTGATTACACACTGCCTTAAACAAATGGATTTGCCCCTTTAACATTTAGATATGGGATCTTTGTGTGTGTTGGTGTCTGTATATGCATGAGAGAGAGGGTACTTGTGGATGTCCTTTTTTGTGAGTAAGGACTGTCATTTGTCTGAATTTGTATCATTGTGTGTTTGTGTGTGTGTGTGTGTGCATGCTGCCTGTTTTTTATCTCAACATTATCAGGAATAGTAGTTTGGGTGTATTAGATAATCATATGGTGAATAGCTAATTATAAATGTGTTATCATCACCATTTGTGCGCATTTCCCATTTGTGTATTTATATCTGCGGCTGTGCATGTTGTTATTGTGCATCTTAGTGAATATTAACACCCATTTCTGTGTGTGTGTGTGTGTGTGTGTGTGTGTGTGTGTGTATGTGTGTGTGTGCGCGTGCAGCCTGTGCCAGGTGCCTCCACAGGGCATTACCCATCTTGCACTCATGCCACTCTGAGAGTAATCCAGTAAAAAAATGGGCGAGATGAGAATCTCACAACATGCCAGTTTGATTTGTACCCCTTGCTATCAAAGAATGCTAATTAAAATCATATTTTGCATATGTCTTGTCTTTCATGCGCATATGCAAATTGCCCCTGTTGCCTTTCAGCACTCTGTAATTAGGTTTATGAAGGACAGCTGTAATACATAATTAACAGAAATGTTTGCAAGCTCTTTTTTTCTCTGCGTCTAAACACGACGACTTAAACAAGCACGCGTGAAGTGTTCCAAGGCCGTGCTTTTCTCTCAAATATATTGATTAATTCGTTTACCCCCCCACCCCCTCAGAAATATCTTAATTATGCTGTTTGTTTATTTATAGATGATGCCGTCAGTCAGAGGCACTTCCAGTGGGCCAGAGAAGCTCAGCATTTTGATCTTGCCAGTCTCCCTGATTGGAGTATACAAGATTTAGTCATACGCTCGCTCCCAGTTTAACTCCAAGGCAGCATTCTGGACGGGTGGATGGATTGAGTTAGAGAGGATTGAGAAAATGTGGAGTGATGATAGCGAGGCAAAACAGGGGAACATGTTTGAATATTTATATGGTGGTGTTAGTTAGCGTCGGCCTCAGGGGCCTTGATGACGGACGGGACTCTGGGGCCATGATGGGATGGAGGACACAGCCTTGTGTGTGTGTGCGTCCAGACTTTGGGGGGGGGGGGGGGGGGGGAGGGGGGGGCAATAGCTAACATAGCGACATAAATAGCGAAATAATTATGCTTTCGCTTTATGGAAGACTGACTCGTAAAGTTATAAGGAAAGCTTCAGAAAGGCGCAGACGGGGCTTGCCGAGGAGAAAATAGAATAATGATCTACTTGGAAGAAACAAAAGTGAAAACCTCCAGAAATGGGAGGAGTGACAAGGGGGAGGACCTGAGTGTGTGCAGTGACAGTGCCAACCACATGACTGTCGGTTCAACTCCCTCGGCCCCTTTCATGTAGCTCCATCCTCAGCTCTCAGATGTGGTCATTGTCTCTCAGTTGCACAATAATGGGAAGTGATGGGTGCTAAATGAAAAGGCCAGGGGATGAAAACTCTGGTGAAGCAGCTTGGATGTCAGAGTAGTTAGTCCTGTCATCCGTTCATTATGTTTTCATATGCTGTTTAGGAGACACGGTAAACTCAGGGCCCTCGACAAAGTCAGGACATTGCGGTCACTGTCAAGCTTTGGTACCATGGTATTTTTGACTGTGCGTGTGTGCAACTGTATTTACTGTAGATACATGTGCATTTGAATCCTTGCACGTGTGCACATATTTGTTTGACACATTGATGTACAACATGTGGAGCTCTTTGCCTAGATTCTCACTCTACTGTCTGACCGAAAAGGTGCTGTTAAAACAAACATTCTCAAACCTATACTCCTCTTGTGGTACAAAGTTTTCCTATACATTTTTTGTCCGCTTTGCTGGTCTGTCATCTATTAACAGAACAATAGTCTCTCTACCCAAAAGCAACTGTTTATGACAGATTATATTTAAAACTCAATGTCAGATGGGGTCTGTTCCTGGGAAAAATCTTGGAATGTTGGAGAAGGATGGGTTTGTTTTCTCATGCAATTGTGAGAGTGTCTATCGGGGAGAAAAAGAAGGACGAGCAGCATAGAAATAAAGGGACAACCAAAACGAAGACACAACATCTTCTCTGCTTTATAGCTTCTTGTTGGAAACAGTGACAAATGGAGAAGGTGCAGCTTGAGTCTTACTTTAGGAATGGTAGTTCATTGATTTGAGAATACATGATTGCAGAAGCTGTCTTAAAATCCTAGGAAGTATTTGTCAGGCATGTATAAGGCTGGGTATAGTTCAAAGAATTACAGTACCAGTACCCTTAAAAAGAGGCTATCAATACCAATAGAGTACTTCTTTTGATACTATTTTATGCCTCCTCATGGGGACAGTATGGGCCAGAGGCATAATGTTTACGTGTTGTCCATGAGTCCATCCAGCCTGTATGTCAAAAACGCCATGAGGTGATTTCTTAAAAATTTGACACACACTTCAGGTCACTTTGACTTCACAGAACACCTTTTTGGCATTACTCAAGAATTCATATGTTAGTCATGACAAAATTTCACAAGTATCTGACAGAATAAAAAGATGAAGTGATGAAATTTTACATCCAAAAAGTCAAAGGTCAACTTCACTGTGACATCGTTAGATAGTGATTGGTGACACTAATCTCGGGTGTCTGCTTTGGAGCTGTGCCATACTTTGGAACATTGTGGCGGCGTCTTGACGTGTCTAACAGAATAAAATGATGAAGTGATGACATTTTATATTCACTATGACATCAAATTTTTTTGCAAAAACACTTTTCTGGACATTATTCAACGCTATAACTCAGGGGAGAAAGGGCAGAAATTTGGTAAGATACTGAATTGGTGATACAAATCTTGGGTGTCCACTTTGGAATTGTACCATACTTTGGAACGTTTTGGTGGTGTCTTGACACAGTAAACTGCCAACTCTGTCAAATACGCTGCTCTATTTCACCACATTGCAAACTGTATGGGTTGTAGCTGCTGCGGTGGTGGGCCAATCACATGTTGCATCACATCGAAGAACACTTTGCATGATTGGGGGCAAGCAAAACCTTATGAAGACTTTTTATTTTAAATTTAGATCTTGATATAAAGGCAATCAAATGTAAGTTTTGTTTGAGCTTGTTTGAGTGGATACCTTAAATGTATAGAATACCAATTCCCAACCCTACATATGTACTGTAATGACTGCTTTACAGATTTTCTTGAAATAAACAGCAATTGAAATGAACCCATACTGGACAAACTCCCTTGTGTATACTACTATGTACATTAACCCATGTTCTGTGTGTGTGTGTGTTTTGTAGATGGGCTTTCGTGATGAAGAAACACCTCAGCACCCACCTGCTGGGAAAACATGGAGTCGGACAACGCAAAGAAAGGTACATTAAACACTTGCAACCACATCCAGCACTGCACATCATCATCTCCTTTTCAGTCAAAGTCAAAATCAATTCTAGCACATTTACATTCATGACAGACAGAATTTGATTCAGATATGATTCCCTATCCTAGATCCTGACTGTCAAGTATTTTAGCTTGTTTTCAGGAGTCTTAATATGAGAGATACTGCTGGCAATTAATTCTAGATTTTGGTGGATGACTCCTTCAACCCCTATGGAGGTCTGCAAGCTTTTAAGCAAAAAGTCCCCACTAGTTAGAGTAAATTTCAAGTTAAATATAACTTGAGATCCTCCGTTCCCTAATGAGTTAAATGGCTTTCACTCATCTTGTCTGTCTCGGTCTCTTGCTTACATCCCTTTATTCTGTCAAACTTTATCTGGCTCCCTTCCTCATCTTACTTTCAGCTCTCCCTCTTGAATTAAGGATGAATGATGTTTCTTTTACCATTTTTGTCTGCGTATGCGAGTGTGTGTTTCTGTGTATGTGCAATGTCTCCCGCTTGGCCCTGTCTATCAGAAGCAGAGCCCTGCTGTCAGTGTATGTGCGTTGTGTATGTGTGTGAAAAAGAAAGATGAGGAGATGAAGTTGTGAAGCCCCCCCCGCCCCCCTACTCTGACAAGCCAAAACGAGACGTTAAACACCTCTCAATCTGTCAAGCGAGCTGCTAAAATAGAAACAGACCCACTTTTTCATTACTCCTCAACCAAATTGATACTTTTGACAATGTGTGGTATTAGATATGACAAGTGGCTTCAGATATGGAAGTAAGCAACCCGACCAGATGCCTCTCCATCTCTCTGACATTATCAACTAAATTCCTACTGTCAGCTGTTCATCTGGATTAGATGGAAACAAATCCTCATATCCTCAACTGCTTCAAGTATCCGTTTGATCCACATATTTTTTTTGTTATTGAAACCTTTATTTGTCCAAGTATAGCTGATACTCCTTACTCACAGTTACATATGTTCACATCTGTGACCAACCCAGTGCAACCACATTTTTTTTTTGCCATTGGTTAACAACATTTATGTAACTTACTGTTTGAACACAACAGATAATGCCAGGCCAACTGCCATTACCTCAGGTATTGGTGGTTTCCACTGACAGATGAAGGTTGAAGGTGGAAGTGTACAAGCTGCCATGACTGCGGTAACATCTCATTTGTAAACTCGCACAGTTGTAACATTGTAATTACTTCTGCCAACTTTCGTGTTAAAAGAATGGTCAATGAATGCCATTTAAATAGTTTTGTTTCACCTGCAAATCCCCCAGACTACACTTACTGGGCTGTGCTCACACAGGATTAGGTCAAAACCTAGTATTTGGCCGGTCATTAAACTATGGCTTTTAATTTGAAACAGGAAGTGGAGGCACTTGCTCAGTCACAGACTTTTAATTACAGTGCTGGCCTTGATGGTGCGGTCCACGCAAAAATGTATATAAATACATGTTAAAATGAAGAACAATACACCTAGACAGGCTCACATAGCAGAAAGGTTCTGGTTTTTGGAGCTGAGTGACCCATGACATTATACATTGCACAAGGTTCACCAACATACCAGGTGTCTTATACGAGACTCATTTTCCCTACATATACAACATGCTAACATTATTAGCATAGACCTCTGACATTTCCCACTGCATAAATTAGCCTAGTGGCTAGCGGAGTTTGCTTCTACTCATATGAAGCTTGAGGAAATCACACAGAAGACTTCAAATGCTTTTTTGTGGGGGCTTTATTATTAGTTATTGCTTTTTATCTGTGAAATAAAAGTAAAGTAAAGCTTTCCAACATAGGCTGTGAAGATAATAGTTACTGTGAAGTTAACCATTAATTTGTGGACGTGAGGTTAGCATTTCAGCCGTCACCATCTTGGCAAGAAGCTGGCTCTGTGGAGGAGCGAGGGGTGGATCTGACTGAACAGTCGAGGACACTATTGGTAGACAGCCGGCACTCAGTGCAGCCCGCCCTCAATTATATGTAACTTTAAGCATTAATGAAATATAAACTGGTGAGCAATATAAAAATTCACTCCCTGTACAGTTGTCAGGCTGTAAATATGTTTATTGCTAATGACAGTTGAGCATTTTAACATGGGTGTCTGTGGGGATTGACTGGCTTCTGGAGCCAGCCTCAAGTGCACGTTTCAGGAACTGCAGTTGTATTTTTCAGCCCTAGGGCTTGCCGTTGGGTTTCAACTGAGGGAAGTGTTTTTTAGTTAACAAAAACAAACAGGAGGTCTGCAGTAGGTCGCCATGGCTCTCAGCGCCTGTTTATTTGGAAAGAGCAACAGCCAATGCGGAAACTCCAGATCTCACAACATTAGTCATTCTGACCAGTGGTGTAACTTTATCACTCACTCACGGCCTTTTATGTTTGTAAGGCTGGCCTTACATTCTGCGGCCCAGTCAACAATATGCTAAATGCCAGGGTCTGCCTGCAGCGTGCTGCCGATTCCTTGCTAGCTGGGCTGCTCTGCAAAGGCTTTGTGGCCCTAATTCCAATTTAACTTTGGCACATCTTTCAGATTTGATGTGTATGATCTGATTACAATTCTAGAGAGGAAGGCCAGTGAAGGTTACACAGCCAGATACATTTCACACTAGTGTTTTGAGAAAAACCTCCACATTAACACAAGCTACCAGTCTGTCAGAGGAGGCAATCGCTGACCACAATCAACCCCAAACATTTGCACTTTTATTGTCAGATAAATTGCACACAGTTTGATTCTCCCACTGTAGTAAATGGGGCAATGCTAGAAAGCACAGTGCCCAAACAGAAGAGTTAGTCTCTATTTCTAATTCCCACACAAGTTGATCTTTGCTAATTTGGAAATGCAGCACATCTGAGATGTGACATTTTAGCCAAAGCTAGTGAAAGCACTGATTTTAGTTGAAACAACCTATAGTTTTGAAAATAACTAGGATGCCGTTTGGCTTTAATTGTCTAGCTGGTAAAAAGACATAAAAAAAATCCCATGTGTATCACACTTTTGTTCACAAAGACCTTTTGTGCTCACTGCTTTTGTGATAGAAGGTGGCAACACTGCCAAGGTCATCAAGGACATACACACACTTTCACACTCAAGGATACTGGGCATGAATTAAGTTGCACTGTCTTTGTGTGTTGCGTTAACCTGGTGTGTGTTTATGCCATAAAACGTCTCAGACACTTTGCTCAGCCATTAAGTATTATGCCACACAGCATCATTACATCAAACACACACACACACACACACAGACAGACAAACACACAGAAGTACTGTGTTAACACACACCCATGTAAACTTGCATACAGTTACGCATAAACACACAAACTGTAAGCTCTCACTCGTCATCAAAAGATCATTCTTCCATCTCTTGTTTTCTCTCATTCTTTTTATTGCGCTCATTCATGCACACTTAAACACATGCCTACTGTGCGCACACACACACGCACACACACACACACACACACACACACACACACACACACACACACACTCCATTGCATACGCACTTAGAGGGAGGACAGCCACAAGGTTTGTTCTATTTAAACCTGTAAAACACGGTGTCATCATTTTTCTGACAGTCCTGCAGACAGAATTTATCTCATCATTAATTAACCATCATATTTCCAACACAGTGCAGCTTAATTAGCACAAGGTCATTGGGGAGGGCTTATTAAGTGGAACAAATTTGGGCAAGTGTAAGAGAGGAGGCAGAGGACGGAGGAGGGGAAAAAGAAAGAGAAGGTGGAAAGAGAGAAAGTGAGGTGGGATGACAAAGAGACAGGCAGGCAGAGAGGGGAGATGAAAGAAAGAAGGAAGGAAAGAAATGGAGAAAGAGAGGAAGTACGTGTCTGTGTGTGTATGAGTGGTTTGGTTCGACATGACAGTGCTGGCTCAATGATTGATAACTGCACCGGTTTTGAAAGCCCAGACCTGGAGACTAGGACAGTAGCTGAGGGAGAAGGAGAGACAGGGAGAGGGAAAGGATGGGGAAATGTGTGTGTGTGTGTGTGTGTGTGTGTGTGTGTGTAGGGGGGTATTTGAACCGGCAACTGGGGACCAGTGAGGGGGGGGTTGGTGTTGAGAGGCAATGGGGGTTGCTGGGGGGAGCCAATTGCAAACATATGCTGGCTGGCAGGCGGTGGAGAGATGGATTGCAGTGGGACAGTGTCAGAGAGGCAGTTTCATCACCATCGCTACGGCCCTGTTCACCTGGTATTTTTAGAACACTGGGGAGATCTGTTAGTCAAAGGAAGAGAGGAGGAGGAGCTGGAGGAGGAAGAGACCTGACTAGCCGTAGGTGACGCCAGGCTCCACTTAGCCAAATCCGTCTGGGGCCTTAAACGCCAGGATATTTTGGGTGGGTATCTGTGAAGAGGATAGAGTCCCACTGATTTTAAAAAGCTGAAAGTGCTGATGATTTTTAGTGTCAGTATCCTGTTTTGGTTGATCCGCCTAAACTTTATTGATCCACATGGGGGACTTGTCCCCATTTGACCTTCCCTAAGTAAGGGGCAGTGAGAAGCCTTTGCCCAACACCCAGTAGGTAATTCCTAAAAGAATAACGTACAGTATCCTTTAAAGTAACGCCAAAGACACCGGTATGCTGGGTTAGCTGAAAACATGGCTGTACAAAGACATCAGCTGGCTGGCCTATACACTCTGCAGCGATCAAAGCCAAATAAAGCACTTCCTTTTGGTTTCAAACCTGCAAATTTTCTTGTCACATGGAGCCTACTTTCAGCTCACCATGCATGTTTTTAGGGAGCCATACAAGCATGGCAAGGCCATGGTAAAAACACACAATTTCTTTATTTTGTTCATATGTGAAAAATCTGTTTTGTACATACCCTTTATGTCGCCCAGTCACAGTGTCACATTACAATCAGTCCCCACTAATGAGTGTTGTAGGCAGTGGTGGTCAACAAGGCTAATATTAGCCCCACATATCGGTCTAACCCCAGTGGGGAAGAGGAGGAAGAGGA